CGCATCGAAATCAATTTATTCAAGTATCCGGATAAAATGTTGGCAATCATTTGAATGCTCATCCGGATATGTTACATTTATTAGCAATTAATATCTAATAAATATTATATTAATTGAATAAAGTAGCTTGATATTGCAACGCTTCAAAGTACCTGCGAAGTCAAAATCGACTAAATAATTGGTGATGCATTGCATGCCTAATGGAAGTGACTATATTGCACTAATTTAAAAAAAATATATCAATTAAGTTTGTCTTTCACGAACAGTTTAAAAATTTTATTTTAATTAGGAAATTCCGATTACAATCTGGCAAAAATCACCTGTAACTAAGTGAAAAGCAGAATTATGCGTACAGTTTCACAATATCCACGAACAAGATTGTCTGTTTATACAGAAAGAACCAGTGATTTTTTATATTAAATCATACTACGCAAAATCAATAAAAATAACTAATTAGATCGCATAATAAGGAACATCGTTTCTCTTATAAGAAGAGGGATTTTTAAATAGAGAGTTTTTCTAATTTGCATACATGTAGGTAGCCAAAAACCGCTTAAAATGAGTCAAAAATGTCGATTATTTTTTTTTAATTTAATTAATTTAATTAAAAAAGTAAATTTTATTTAAACAAGCTCATATCATTCAACTCTTCTTTCGGATGAAAATATTGTACAATTCGAGGAATTTTGAGAAAATTTATGTTTTTGACAATATTCGACCTTATTACTTAATAAAGACGGCCAAAAATCGTAAATTCTCATGCTTATTTTTTGAGCTGAATCGATTTATTTAGACGTAAGAAGCTGCCCAATTTGCATAGACAATCATTTATTACTATTTAAAGCTGGCCCTGGGATTAACACCTAAACACGTTCAAAAGAAAAAAACGGTTTAGCCAAATCAATTAAAGCGCAAATGAATTATTAAAATATCGCTGGTTAACCGATCTAGCGAATAACAAAATTGAAACGGGATAGAGAAGATAATCTGACCGAAACAGGATAATGGCCTCTTATAACTCGGTTACAACGTTCTGGAGTTATTTCTGTTGATCTGTTTTTCCCGGATCCTCTTGAGAATGCTTACATGACCTGCTTAGAGCTCGAGAAGTAAATAAATTCAGTCAATGCCAAGACGCGGTGATATTTTTTTTGTTTATCGGACACGACGTCCCATTTCCGAGCCATTTAGTGTCTAGCATTTTTTGCAAGGTTGGGTTTTTATCTGATACAAAAGGGAAAAATTGATAAAATTGCGAAATATTTTTAAAAACCGTTTCTTCAGCTTTCCAAAAACCAACAGTTTAACAGTAGAATTCATTAAATCCATTCCAAATCAAAATTAATTCCTGGGTTTCAGTCATTTATTGCCTTTATTTATCAATTAAAATACGTTTAGGTGTATTTTTCCACCATCACCAGTTTTTCTAAAATAACATAGTTAAAAAAAATTTTCATTTTACTAGAGTTATTTTAGAAAAACTGATGATGGTGGAAAAATACACCGAAACGTATTTTAATTGATAAATAAAGGCAATAAATGACTGAAACCCAGGAATTAATTTTGATTTGGAATTAAAACACAGTCAGGAAGTATATACAGGGTTATTCACGCTATACGGCACGGACGTTTGCGGCTAGCCCGTTTGTTTTTTGCAAACTGTTATTTGATGAATCCACAGACGCGTATCGGGTGCATATTTTAAAAATATTTTTGTAATGTACAGAGTGTCCCAAAATCCCCAAAAGTATCAAAGTTGTTTTTTTTTTGTAAATGAAATACCCTATGTATTATCGCATTTTTGGATTATTTGAGCAAAATAAGTGTTTGTTTTAATAAGATTTATAATGTCTAAATCTAAAGGTTTTTTAAATAATTCGAATTTTATCAAAATCTAATATTATTTT